AACTCTGGCTGCAGTTCACCTGAAACTCTGATTTTTGCTCCATGACTGTTGGAGTCAGTCGTAGCTTTTTGGTCGCACTTAAAAGTTCAGACTTTTTTTTGGTTTTTACTGAATCTGGTGCCAACGTGTTGTCTTTGGTGAACTTCTGGACGACGTTACAGACGGCCTGACACATCTTCTGGCTGATAAATCCTTCATGTCTGTCAAACCCTCTGATGACACTATAGGAGCAAATGGACAACATGAACCAGCTGTACTTACATGGATGTATTTTAAAAAGTACTTAACAAATATAATCGTGATATTGTGCGTTAATCCTCCTAAACCAACTTTATACTGAAGACGTACAACTACGTAATATTTGAGGAATTTTTGCAAAGTATTAACAAGAAGTATGAGTTTACTGGTATGTTAGTATGAGCAGACCTGAGGAGAGAGCAGGATGAGGCGCTGTGTGCCTTCATGCCTTCACTCTCCAGACTGTTCAGAACCATGAGAACTCATGATCTAACCTTATTGATGCTTCTTGTCTCCAGCTGACAACAACCACCGTCTGAATCTCTTCTACCTGGCCAACGACGTGATACAGAACTGCAAGAGGAAGAACGCCATCGTCTTCCGTTCAGCCTTTGCAGAGGTGCTCCCCAACGCCGTCCAGCTCATCAAGTGAGTGTTCACTGAGCTGGACATCGATCCAGTCAGCGGTTCTGTCCACGGTTCTGCTGAGGTGTTCATGCTGTGCTGTCATTTCTGCTTGGTCAGGGACGGAAAGGTTCGCAAGTCGGTGGAGAGGATCTTCTCAATTTGGGAGGAGAGGAGCGTCTATCCCGAAGAAGTGATCGCTCAGTTCAAAGCCAACTTGAACAAGAAGGAGAAGGAGCGAGAGAAGGAGAAGGAGAGGGAGAAGGAGAAGGAGAAGGAGAGGGAGAGGGAGAGGGAGCGGGAGAAGGAAAAGGAAAAGGAGAGGGAGAAGGAGAAGGAAAAGGAGAAGGAAAAGGAGAAGGAGATTCCACCTGCAAATGGTTGGTCTTGTGTTTAAAGTAGCTTCTCTTTAGAGTAGTTTTATCCACGGACGGATGAGTGTTGACGTTCACTGTTTCTCCTCTCCAGCAGCTCCAGCTAACTCCAAAGCTGCCCTGAAGTCCAAGATCGTGGCTGAGTTCACAGTAAGCCTTCTCTACGTGTCTGTTTTTAAGTATTTCTTCTAAAGCTACGTCTGAACCAGATCACGTAGCGTCCTGTTGGTCTCTCTCCAGCCTCAGTCCCTCATCGAGCAGCTGTCCCGGTACCGGCGAGCCGTGGCTGAGGAGGAGTTCAGGGAGAAGCAGCTGGCGGCGCTGAGGGTGGACGTCTGCAGCACCGAGGCCCTCAAGAGACTCAAAGGTGGGAAGTTAGCGTGCTGGTTCCTGCACCGCCACACACCTGAACACAGCAGAGGGAATAACATGAGCCTGGTGTGTTCAGACAGCAGGTTCATGTTCTAGGGTGGACCACCGTTTGGACCACATTCTGATACCAGTAGTGAACACAGTCTGACAGTAAATACCAGATCCATGAGGGAGGTCCAGTCGGCCTTCATTCAGCCACAGTGGGGAGCTGTGCTTTGAGGAGCGAACCCTGAGACGTCTGCTGTTTGTATCCACAGAGGAGCATGCTGGGATATGGTCTGACCACTGTAACCTGCTAGATCAACATTTTGGACTCAAAAACACACGAAAAATATAAAATCTGATTTGAAATATATTATTTATTACAATAAAAAACACAGACATGCTGAATGAAGCATTTTGAGAGTTAAAGATGTAAACAGGTGACAGGTCTGGACATGAATCTGATATAAAATCAAACTAAATACAAATATATGATGATACAGTCGTGACTCGATAATCCGACACTAAATGTAAAACCTTCTTCTATGTCGGATAGCAAGGCTGTCGGATTGTCCAGACGGAGGTCCAGATACGAGGAGGGCTTGATGCTGGAAGGCTCATTAGTTGTTCATTATTGTTCATAGTTGTTATAATAACTAGTGTGTTGTTAGAACACTACACATTGCTGGACTTCAGCCTAACTGACCGGTGTGATTGGGCACAGGCCGGACACTTCTGGGCCGGACACTTACGGGCCGGACACGTCCACCCCGGGGCAGCGCTCTGACGGGGTGGAAGTGTCCAGAACACACAGGCAGTACTTGGCTGCTGATGCTAGTTTAGTTAGCGCTCACACTTCTGTTTCCACCATGGGGGGGAGTGGCAGTAGCTGCCTGGGCCACTCAGAGGGTCGCTGATGACACATCCAGAGGCCTGACTGCTGCTGTTTCACGGCGGCTCATGTTGGACACCTTCAGCCCTCCGTGGCCGCCGTGCGTCCTCCTGGCTTCTTGTTCCAGACCGGTTGGGTCGCTCCTTTTCCCCTTCTGGTGTGATTAACTTTGTTCTGATCAATGTGCAAATTAGCACATGTAAACCCTGTCAGCCTATCACAGCTCACCGGGGGGGCGGGGCTTCTGCAACACCCTCCAACCAGGCTGCTCAGCATCTGGACCGACCCGTCTCTCAGGGCGGCTGTGATTTAGAGTTCAGCAGCTCTAGTCTGGTATTTGAAAGGTTGTGTTGCTGAGAAGGTCTGCCTGTGGAAACAAATTGTTGGGAAGAACAGCAGCACGATGTAATAATGCAAATCATAATAGTAATATGCTATATAACACAACAGTCAGTGTGCCTACAGGTAAATATAGTTAAGTATATAAAATGTAAAGGTGCATCGGATATATATTTTAAAAAGTACAGGCCACAGTAACACAGTGACAGTAGAGTCACCTGCTCTGACTGGAGCTGTTTCTACTCCACCAAGAATCCTGACGTTGACTCAGACCGTCGGCACACACATGCAAATAAAACCACCTTGAATCTTCTCCTACTGTTTTAAATCTGTCTCCACACGTCTCCTCTCTGCTCTGTGGAAACCCTGCCTGCCTTCACCTGACAGCTGTCCCACCTGTTGCTCACTGAGTCACAGTTTGCTTAATTTATGGCTTTTATTCAGATGAGACAGAAGAAAGTGACTCTGATGGACTGTCATGGTTTGGCTCCTGTTTGTCTGGAGCGTCCCAGACGATGTTTTCACAGTTTCTGGTGGATGGATGGTGTAATTTAGGTGATGTAATTTATCTTTGGGGTTCAGAAGGTTAGGATCCGTGCACGGCGGAGCAGCGATGCCCGTCTGGTTCTCTGGATGTTCCTGAGCTGCCTCATAAAGATGAGGCCCAGGTGTTCTGATCGGAGTCCAGTGAGGAAGTCAGGAGGAGCTGCTGATAAAATAACGTCCACGGAGGCTCCAGCTGTTGAACTCCTGGACTTGGAGGACCTGCTGCCTGAACCTCAGCCAGCTGGTTGTCATGCCGCGCTTCAGAGGTCCTCCAACTGTTTCTGATGACGTTTCCTCAGCGGCTCTGAGACGCAGCGTCTGTTTGCTGTTTTAAACCTTCTCCCAGTCGGACCGCCGGCTCTGATCCTCTGACTGCTGGTTCATTTAAAAGCAGGAGAAAACCTTGACTTTGATTCAGTGTCTTGCATTTAAACATGAGGAAGCCTTGTGTTTACCTGGGGCTGTTTGTCATCTGTCTCCTCCTTCAGACAAAGCAGGAGGGAACAAGTTCGCCAAGGACTTCGAGGACGGCAGTCTGAAGCTGCAGGAGTTTGTGGGCTTCCTGGAGAAGGAGCTGAAGACGGGGCCGCCTCTGCTGGAAGCTCTGGGAAACGCAGACATTTTCTACGAAATGCAGTACAAGGAGGTCAAGATCGTGGCCAACGTGAGTGTTGTTCCCTCAATATGTAAAGATGTTTAGCTGGAGAGGAACTCAGAGGGCCTGAGCAGGTGTTTAACACTTGTTTAAGCTTATTTATTAAAATGAATCAGCCGTAGAAAGATGTTCCACCATCAGCTGTAGAAAGATGTTCCACCATCAGCTGACTGTATCTCCAGCAGCTGGCTCCTCTGTTCTCTGGTTCTGATCTGTGCTGTATCTCTTTATTATTTCGTGACACCACTGTTGGTCTCAGCTGAGTCAGTTTTTGATTCTTAGTTGAACTGAGTGACGCAGAATGTTTTGGTGCAGATGTGTTTATTTTAAAGTGATTTAGATGAAACGTCAGCGTTCTTGGCCGGTTCTTGGTGGAGTCCTGCAGCAGATCCCTCCTCACACATGACCTGTGGCTGATGAAGGCTGTAATGCCTTTCCAAACAGGTTTTTGTGTCTGGAGGTTCATCCAGTTGTGCTTGTGTTTCTAGTGAAGAGGACCATGGGTGAAATGATCCTAGAAGACAGTACAGATGCTGGAGTAGATGCAGGGTAACTGGAACGTCTTTCTTATTTACATTTTCTCTGTGGTTGCTGTCGTCAGGCGTACAATGCCTTTGCCAACCGGGTGGCCAGTCTTAAAAGGAAGCTGGACTCCCTGAAGTCGACTCTGCCTGGCCCTGAGGACTCCCCCATCCCCTCGCCGTCTGAAGATGCCCCCTCACCCACCGGCTCGGAGTCGCCCTTCCTGGGGATGGGAGGCAGCAGAGCCCAGGTGGACCCAGAGCTGGACGGGAAGGCCATGGATGAGGCAGAGCTGCAGAGCGACAACAGAGACATGGAGGACATGGACATGTCCGACGAGGAGGCGGACGCCGCTGCAGCAGGAGGTCGGTGGCTGCACGTCTGTGTTGCTTAGTGGTTTCACTTCTGTCTGTAACTCCACGTTAGCTGCAGTGACCAATCAGCTCTGAGTGTTTCTTTCACTCGCAGATGACAAGAAAGAGAAGCTGCCTGCTGCTGCTTCCAAGACGGCCAAGTCAGACGTGGCGTCAAAGCTTCCGAACACGCCCACGAAAGCGTCCAAGACGAACGCCTCGGCTGCTGCCGCTGCTGCTTCCACCACCACAGGGACCCCGACGGCTGCAGCTGCTGCAGGAGCTCCAGCCGTCCCGCTGGGGGTCAACCTGGCCAAGGTGGACCTGGGAAAGATCAGCTCCATCCTCAGCTCGCTCACGTCGGCCATGAAGAACACAGGTGGGTCTGGGAGCTGAGGACGGGCTTGTTTATTAAAACAACTGGTGTTGTTGCTCAACACTGACATGAACTGTGATCATAAAAACACACTTTTCACATATTGTTTGTAAAATAAATGATTTTTGTGACATCATGCAAACAAACTGGCATCAGAAAAGAATAAATTCTGAACATGAAGAATATTTGTTAGTTCTGATCAGGACTGTGTTAGATAATGTATGTCCCTACAGGTTTATATCACACAATACTTTGTGTTGTTTTTGTCCTGAAGGTCCCTAAATAGTTTTTCTTTAATTAACCCCAGAACACTAACGTCACACGGTTCTTGTCATGTGATTTTCATTGTGTTGCTGATGTCTGAGCTGCATGGGTCCTTGTTTAGCTTCAGGCTGCTCACTGATGTCATTGATGGTGTGTTTGTTTCCCACCTCCCATCTATGGTTTATTCAAGACGCATGCGTTCAGGTGATTTTCACCCGGCGTTAGTGATAGAGGATATCATATTTTATGGGTGGAATTTACCCAATGCCAGTGTTTGTGTGTTGAAATCAGGCATTCTGTGCAATTTTCAAGGGAAACAACATTCAGGCCGGTCGGCCACATCCTCTGATCCATTTCATCCACAGCTGTCATCCTGTCACAGGCTTAGTTACTCTGACATGCTAACAAGTGAGTAACATGTAGCTAATGGTAATTTACATCTGCAATCGTTGGCTACGCAGATTTCTTTTTTCTACTACAGCTAAGCTTTTAGCGAGCTAGCTACAAGTGAAGCTGTAGCACTCAGAGAGAGGAAAAAAAAGAAATGGCTGGACCAAAGAACAAGTTCCCAGCTCCATTATTTGTTTTGTTTGGAAATTTCTTGTCAAGGATTACCTGATTTTTCAATAGTTTTGCTGCCTTTTTATAGGGTCCCCCATGGTACCTTTTTTAAAATTATTTAATGTGATGTTGTATATTGGGCTCCTCACCCTATCTCTAAGGGAGCGCCCGGCCACCCTGCGGAGGAAACTCATTTCGGCCGCTTGTATCCGCGATCTCGTTCTTTCGGTCATTACCCAGATCTCATGACCATAGGTGAGGGTTGGGACGTAGACTGACCGGTAAATCGAGAGCTTTGCTGCCTTGCTCAGCTCCCTCTTCACCACGATGGTCTGGTACAGCGACAGCAGTACTGTAGACGCTGCACCGATCCATTTGTCAGTCTCACTCTCCATCCGCCCCTCACTCGTGAACAAGACCCAGAGATACTTAAACTCCTCCACTTGAGGCAAGGACTCTCCACCAACCTGGAGAGGGCAAACCACCTTTTTCTGGTCGAGAACCATGGCCTCGGACTTGGAGGTGCTGATCCTCATCCCGCTCACCCCACACTCGGCTGCAAACCGCCCCAGTGCACGCTGAAGGTCCTGGTTTGATGAAGCCAACAGAACATCATCTGCAGACAGCAGAGATGTGATTCTGTGGTTCCCAAACCGCTTCGGTTATACACCAACAACACAGGATGTACAAATAAGAGATTACACCTGTGACCATGAGGACAAAAATGTCTTTGAAACTCATTAAAGTTCGTATTTTTGTTCCCTTGCCATTAAAGTAAGATGTTGGTTTAAAAGTAACTCAGTACAGTTTAGAAAATAATATTAATATCTAATATTTTTGTCTGTTTTTTGACAGATTTCTGTCGTGAAGCTCTTATTTTCTTTGGTGAAGTCTGACTCTGTACAGCGATGCTGAGGCATCAGACTGTGATGATCAAAATCTATAGATTTATTCTAATCATCACTCATAAGAAAAATACTTTATTTTTGTTCTTGTTTTTTTCATGATAAACAGCAATAACATCAGATAAACAGACTGACATTTAAAGGGTTAAAATTCAGAAAAGAGAAACAGATGTCATCAGTACTTATGTTTAAAAAGCCTCACTAAGTGGAAACACTGTATTGAATGTTTAGGCCAGAGTTTTTGTCCTCATGGTCTTAAATGTTTGTTAATTTTGACACTTCACAAGAAAATCTTGTTGAAAAATCCCACTTGAGACGATAAAAATCTCATGAAAGCCACCGTAGAAACTTGTTTTATGAATAATTTATATGTTAATACCAAATATTCATTGATTTTCAGGATTTTAACTTTTAATTTTAGATGCCAGTTTCAGTGATGTCACTGCTGCTCTTTATGACAAAAGCAATTAAAGTGATTTATTTTCCATTTAATAAGTGCAATTTCCAGGCAGTCAAATCTGATACAAGACTGATGTTGGTTAAAAAAAGAAAACTTGGTGAAAGTGAAAATAGTATTTATTTCTGATATTCTATAATTTTATTGCGACTCTTGGTGACTTTCTAAAGAAGGCAGCAGGTTCTGATGTCACTGTCTGCTTGTTGCTCGGCAGCGAGTCCGTCACCGCGACCGTCTCCAGGGACGCCCACCACACCGTCTGGCCAATCAGCAGCCTCCAAAGCCACGCCTCCAAGCCCCGCCCTCGCCAGCATCCTGTCACGGGTCGACATCACGCCTGAAGGGATCCTCAACGCTCTGTCCAAGACCAACACACCAGGTCTCACAAACACGTCGACTGATCGTACATGAGCTTGTTGGTGATGTTCAGGCGGCTCTGAAGCTCTGGAGGCAGCTTCAGTCAAACACGTCGTTTCTTTACATGTTTTTAGTTGTCGTTCCACCTGTCGGTCACTAAAGTAGACGAGCTGTTTTAACAGCACAGTAACAAATCTGCAGCTCGTTGTTTTGCTGTTTCTTTAGTTTATATTTGTTTTGCAGGTTTTGTTTGTTTTCTGTCTTGATCTTTTTGCATCCTGCTTGTATAACATCCAAATCTTTGGTTGTTCTCAGACATGAACGTTCTGGTTCTGATCGTCTCTTTGTCCTGTCTGTGTCCCGTACAGGTCTGTCCTCCCTCTTACAGAGCGTGACCAACACCTCCTCTGCTCCTCCCACCAGAACCTCCCCAGAGTCCGCTACCGTCAAAGCCCCGCAAACCCCCACCACCCCGAAAACCAAGCCCGTCTTGGGGAACAGCCTCAAACGAGACGCCCCTGGAAGAGCCAGAGACTGGGAGAAGGAGAGGCAGCTGTCTCCTCCTCCTCCTCCTCCACCTCCTCGTCCCTCAGCTCCCTCCGTCTCCCCGCCCAGCCTGGAGTCCAAGATCAACAGCTTCCTGCAGGGCAACCCGGGCTTCAGCATGGCTCTGGGCGACGTCAGCCCGGACGGCGTCGACGGGACGCCGGTGAGGGACGAAGCAGCCGGGACGCCGACCCAGGACGAGATCATGGACACGCCCGGGAGCGTGCCCGAGTCCCTGGGCTCATCCGGAGGCCACAACCTGTCGCCCACCGCCTACCGGAGCGAGCCCTGGGACGCCGTGATCACGCCGTCGGGCAGCAACAGCGACGGAGACTTTCTGGGCTCGTCGCGGTATGGAGCTGGCAAAAAGAGCGGCGCCAAGCTGAAGGACGACGACGGCGTGAACGGCAGGAAGCGGGTCTTGTCCTCGCCTGGCGCCGACATGAAGGGTAAGAAAGACGAGCCGCCGTCCAGGATGAGAGCGATGGCAGAGCGCAGACACTCGGCTGGCTCCCGCAAGGCCAGCACCGGCGCCGAGGACGGCGGGAAGAGAGAGGCCAAAGGCGAGGAGTTGACCGGCGACAGGAAGGAGGGCCCGTACCACCGCATTGAGACTCTGGTGTCACCCTGCGCCGAGGGGGCGCCCATCCAGACTCTGGGCTACTCCAACCGGCCGCTGGCCGGAGAGCGCATCAAGACGGTGGAGAGCATCCGCGTGATTGGCCGTGGCTCTCGGCGAGGGGGCGGGGCCGGTGGGCGGCCCGGGGGGGCCTTGTGGTACGAAGAGGAGGAGTACCTGGAGGTCCAGCCTCCCTCCCCC